CGTGACCTGCGGTGGATATCAGCTTGTTGAAGCCCCGTGCTCTTCAGATATTAGAGAATCCACAAAAATGTGATTATACTCTTTTTATTTTTTAATTGTACGCTGCAGTGCAAAAGGGTCATGAAAATTTTTCAAAAAGACAACAAAATCCCGACACCATAGATTGTTTTGTTTAAAGCCTTAGCCTCTTTGTTTGCCAAATTGATCTTTATTTCTTTTATTTGCAGTGATCAAAACGATAAAAAGATGTCTACCAAGTTTTCCCCCCTCCCTCACTTGTTTTCAGCAAAAAAATGTCATTGTGCATAGATTCCAAACAGAAGCACGTACTCTTTCATAAACAGACAGACACAAACAAAGAAGGAGACGTGGTGACTTCCAAAGGCTGCCACCGTCGAGGAGTCAGATGATCGCTGTTTTTACCAACACCAGCTCTGTTGTTACGTGCGACAATGAGGCCCTTTGAAGTGTCACGTCCCATGCAAAAACTCCTTTGTCGTCATCTCAAAAAGAGCAGAGCTTTCACTTTTGTGTATTATTGGAGGGTTTTTTTTCCTCACATTTTCACTCAGACATTTGTTTGCTACTAATCCCAAAGAGCTTCCCAGCCATATATGTTTAGTTTGACTGTCTCCCACTGCCACTTGTCTATTGTTGACCTCCGATATTCTCTCGGGACTGTTGTAGAGCCATTAATAGTATGTCTGTGTGTAGATCTGTCCTCACTTTCATACTCTTTGAGTGAATGGAAACCTGTTTCTTATTAATATTTGAGAACACCAGAGTGTTAGGACCGCATTTATAGCAGTTCTTTTTTTTTCTCAAAGCCTTCCCATTTACCAACTGTTATTGTTTCTGCAGGTGTAGACAGCAATACTCAAAAGATCTAATTTGTCTGTGATGAGCATCCCCATCCACAAGAGACCAAAGGTACGGTAAGATATGAAAAGCTCATTATCTTAAGTCCCAATAAACATCTTATTATGCCACCGACAAGCCATGCGGCATAATACAAAAGCACAATAAAGCATGAGTCGGTCATATTCTGCCTTGTCTTTTTTTATTTCCATGGAAACTCTTTGGAGCCATTTTAATTTCACAAATTTTACTAACGATATTGCTGTAGAGGAGAAAGGCTCTAAAAATCTAATCTGATTATGCTCTAATGCGACCTGACAAAACCTTGATTGTTTGCTACAGCTTACTGTGCATAACGTGTAGTGTTGGCCTGGTTTGGCGGGGGGTTGATTGTCTGGAATTATTTGATATATGGTGTCATTAATTCTGCTTGACTTCCCTGCCGTGTCCATAAAATGAGTTGTGTCTGTCTTTGTTTCTTTCCCGCGATGATCTCGCAGTTATGTCGGCAAGCAAAACAAAGTTGGTCTCGAAGCAATTACTTGGGCTAGAGTCTGATCTCGGGTCATTAAGAGATAGGATTACTCCTGGACCGCGGGACCCCAGGAATGTGCAGACCCCTCCGGTGGTCTGCTCACCGCTGATGAAATAGAATTGAATTAATGGGGTTGCCCACTGTGAGGACTGATTACAACGACATACTGCCTTTGATCCCGGAGCGAGGTGACCAGGCATGGGCGCCGCAGGCATCGAGGCGGGGTTTCATGTGTGTGTGTGATTATGTGTACGTCCTGTCTTGGGTCAGTGCGTCACTAATGAACGGTGCTCATTACGTGTGCTCTTTGCTGAGTTCACATCTCACTGGGGTGCTCCAGGTGTAAAATCACTCTATGGTGTTGGGTTTGTGGAAGGTGGCCCAAAGTGGTATGTGATAGTTATCCTGCTTTTAGATTTGGCAAATCATCTGTAGTCCTTCATGCATTTTAAACGCCTCCCCTTTGATCACAGTTGCAACTTGTGTGTTGTAATCTGAGGTTAAATTTAGTTCGGTGCTATAGGCCGTTGCCTGCAGTCCATCATGTGTTGAAGTCTAATAACACAGCTGGAATTTGTAACCACCGGTGTTTACCACTTTTTGGTTCAAGTAGTGTACGAGTTGGTAATTACCAGTTGAGCATAACAGTTGGCTTTTGTGCACCAGGAATTTCTTTGCTTAGTTATTAAGTAACAGAAATGCTCTGCCACAGCTCACAGTGGGCCAGGTGTGGAGTTGAGTGTTTACATTTTGGTCAGTGTAATGTAGCAGATTGAGAATACCTTTGCTGTTCGGGACTTGTTTTTTTAAAGTGTTCAAGTGTTGAGATTTGAGTGGGCTGAGATATTATCAGGCATTCTTGGAGCTGCTAACGCGGCCTAAAAAATTCTGGCAAGGAATTCTAGCTTTGTCAGAGAAATCTGAGCAAAGAAGGGACTCGGTGACGGTGAGATTGATATGCTTAATCCTTTAGAAATTAGCTTCTGTCAGTGTATGGATTCATTATGAATACTGCTTCATGTAATGAAAACTTCACTTGAATAAATTTAAGTCATATTTTACAGTAGCCGACGAAATTGGCAACCTATAACGCCAATTTACACTCGCACTTCTCAATTTACTTGATATTAATAGGCGAGAAAAGTCTCAGCTGTCCTCAGTCCTTGTGATGAAATGAACCGCGTCACGGTTTGAGAGTGTGAAAGGCTTGTTATTTGTTTGTGTGATCATTGTGCTGCTAGAATGTGGCAAGAGATCCAGATCCAGAGATCATCACTGCTGCACTGTTAGCATTTATAAAGTTGTTTTTTTTGGGATCGCTTCTTTTATACAAGTTATGATTGCATTATTTTGGGGATGACGTGAAGAAATCAACAAACGCTGCACTGTAGGATTTTATTGACTCGTTTCAGTCATTTCAAGCATACACTCCATGGATAAAAGAATTGGGCCGCCCCTTTTCATCTAAATTTGCCTTGGTGTTTCTGGTCCCAGTCCCAGGTGGCCATGCTGTCAGCCCTTCCAAACATTTGAAAAGACTCAGTCGTTCTACAGAGCGCAGTAAATACAAGGCCACTGTTGCCAAGTCAGTTTGTCTCCTAAATATTCCATGATCAGCAGTAGGAGTTATTATTGCAAAGATCATGTAAAGTTACTTAGTGAGGTCACTGAGTGCTGAGATGTTTACTTGGTGAAAGTCACCAGTGTTCTCCTGACTCAGTAACCACGGGGCTTAAAACCTCCTCTAGCATTAGCATCAGCACAAAAACTGCATGCTGGGAGCTTCATGGCTAAGCAGCTCAT